ATTTGCGCTCGTGTCGTCATTTCCAACATGGTATCGGCTATTTCTTGCTCACTCATGTTCTCCACAACTTTCTTTTCCGAGCTGTCCATGTTCAGCTCAACCTTGCGACCCATGGTAAAAGCAGGATCCCATACGCCGAGTGGGAGGGGACGCTCTGTCTCCCCAAACCCCTCTTTTCTCTTCTTTGCTGCCTCGCCGCTGGTCCCAACAGCCTTCACTTTTCTCTTCCTTTCCAATTGTTCTTCAACCACCACCGTCTTGTCAGGCGACACCGACAGTACAACGGGAGCTGGCTCAACTGTTTGGGCTGGTGTATGTTGTTGACCACCAGCACGTCCCGCGGATGGCCCTGGGCGGTTACCTTCCGCCCTTTCATTGTCAATAGACTGAAACCAATTTATACCGCTGCCCTTTCTTCCCATTATCTCTGCAAAACAAAGGACAACCCAGCACTGTCAGTTACAACAAAGCAATTTACAAAAATAACAAGCATAGACACATACCAAACACCCTCGCCTCAGCGTCATCGAACTCAAGGCAGTTTATAAGCTGACGGGAAGAAAAGGGGCGTGGCAACGCAGTCAACACACTCAGAGCCTCTAATTCTTCAATCGTCAGTTTATCTTCAGACCAAGAAGTGAACTTCAAGGGTTCCTGCGTCCAATACAATGGGAACTTGGGGTTCCCTTCACCATTGAAAAATTATCTTTTCCCGACTTCAGTGATCGACACCTTAAAAAATTTTTCCTTGAAACCCCTATACGACTGCATATATAGTTCTAATAGTGCATTCCCCGGCTCAGAAATCAACGATACCTACCCCTTCTTCGCGACCGGTCGACATCTAAAGAAATATAGAAACAATCCTACGGTTGGCCTAATCGCTAACGCCCGACACATCACAGCAAACGCTTGCACTTACCCCCAACTTTTGGGATGCAACTGACTAGGTGCGACATTCAATGTACGCAGCACATCCATTTGGAAGGTTGTGAACGGTAATCTCAAATACAAATCTTAGAATGGCGAAGCATAACAGTAGAAAAATTCACTGGAAGCATTCTCCCTACCGTAACACACCCTCTCATCATCCCGTCATGCTATTAACTTAATAAATGTTTGATACCCTAGGGTTCTCATAATGCAACTATTCTCAATCCAGTTTGCTATAACTGCCTTACTCCTGAACTGACTTCTAAGTTCTTTCACCTCACGCGCCACCCAGGCGTACTCATCCCCGCTAATCAGGAGACATTACACGTCCCTCTGGACCCTCACCACATACATTTCCATACACAAATGCGTCATCACCATAAGGTATGGTGGTAACTTCAGGGCATTCCGCCGTTGAGGACGGCCCCGGCATATCGCCACCGGTCTTATGCCCCTTTTCTTCCATTGCCAGCAGTCAATCAACTAAGATGAAGAAGATTTAAGGGTTACCTGGTAAATTCTGGTAGCAGCGTAAGCGATGATGATGAAGAAGAGATGATTTCGCTCACAGCACACACTGTCAACTTCTATTCTTCCGCAAAAATGAAAAACCCTTTTCTGAAAAACCCTTTTCTGAATCGTGTTGAAGAAGGCAGGGAGTTTAATCGCCAGGCGCCGTTAGATCCTTTTAATCCAACGGCTGCCGATTCGCACCTCTTCGTTTCCCCAAACAAGCGGGAAACCTTAAAAATCGTAATTTCAGTTTAATCATCATGCGCCGTTGGATCCTTTTTAATCCAACGGCTGCCAATTCGCACCTCTTCGTTTCCCCAAAAAAGCATGAAAACCCTAAAAATCTCAACCCCAAAACGGTGCGTATCATTCCCCTCATCACAACCACTCAGCGTCCTTTAGTAAACTCACAGGCGCAAATTTGCGCTCGTTTCCTAGGACTCGGGGGGCATGTACCATAGGATACCCGAGTTCACCAGTAGTCGACCTTTAACATCACAAGTGTTTACAGGTTGATGTCGAACACCTGGTAGTCGATAGTCACTGTCCTTCGTATGTTAATGTCGAGCACTTACAGGTCGATGTCGAGCACCTGGTGATCGACAATCAATGGCATTGGCATACTGATGTCGAGCACCTGGTAATAGACCATGTCGATCACCTGGTGCTCGACAGCCAGCGATGTCTCGACACACAGCGCTTGCACGACGACAAAGCGGATAATTTTGAATATTAGTCCGATACCACAAATCACGGGAATAACTAACCCAGTATGAAACACGATCTAACAGTCACAACTCCCAGGCAGTCAACTTCGGTAACGGACCGAACTTTCAGGTAAACGGTTTATTTTACTGTTTTAAATATACAAAGCACAGGAGAAAAAAGGTACGTTTTTCCCCTAAGAGAAATTAATAGATTCTTATTCTGAAGATTAATCAGATATCCCTATCTTGACTTGAGCGTCGGAGTGCCTTTGCAGGTACCCAGCCCACCTTTTCCCAAAGAAAAGAGCGTAGAGAGAGGGAGGAAGCATCGTAACAGGCATTACAAGAAGAAGCAGTCAGTTTTGTTAGGTTTGTATCTCGGTCTCCACATCCCTACTGAAACACTTGTGAAAGCTATCTAAAATATATTTTCTCTTTGATTTTGTTCAAGTGTAATAAAAAATGTACAGAGATTTTACTACAAATAATATACACAGCCATTTATAAATACAGAAATTAACACTTGCATCTAGGGGTGAGGAATTCCGCAACTAAGGAAAACAGTTGATTAATGGAACTAACCTTTTTGTTTCTTATCATGGCAGAAGGCGCTTCCACAAGAACACCGAAATGCTTTAATAGGATGATCTGTATCATCAAAATCAATACCATAATCCTGCATATAATATTAATTACGAATAAGGATTGATTATGACAGTAGCGTCTATGCCTTCCCACCGCTAACTAAAAACACAACATAACAATCATTGTTTAATTTGTATATCAAAGCATAAGGATATTATCAAATGAAAGATAGGAAAGAATGTTTACAAATCAATTTAGATTAGACTTTAGATACGGCAAAATATATTTTGAAAGTATTTTTAATTACATTTTTTTAATTAATTTCAATCTCTTCTAATCCTTTATATATATAGATAAAATATTTTTATTACATTTTTTTAACTTTCATATTGTGAATTTACAAAAAAAGAAAAAAAAACCGCACGAATAAAAATGCACGTTTATAATCGGTCCAACCAACTTACCCAAGTCAATTCCTCATACGCACTCACATTTCTATTGGTAAAGAAGGCAAGCTGCACAGAAAGAAAAAAAATAGAAACTTTAATGTGTTACTCAAAATTAAGAAAATGTAAAAGAGAACTATGTGAATATAAACTTAACCAATCATTACATGATAATAATGGTGATCTGGACTCTCTATTTCAACGGGAATGTCTATGAGATTTGCATCATAGCATCTGCGATTACACAAACATTAATAATGGTTCTGACGTCTAGTTTCATCAGTAACCTAAATGAAAAGAAAAGAAAAAATCGGAAACAGAGGAGAATAAAACACTTTAAATGATCAGTAACTCATTTGTATGGATGGTATGAGATTCAATTTTCAATAAAAAGAAACTTTTTTGTTAAAGATATTAATTCAAAATTTTCAACCAAAGAACAGTCAAACTAATAACATCATTAAATAAACATTTTAGACGAAAGCAAGAAGTGGGCAAAAGAAGTTGGTACCAAAATCACCGTATATATAACTATTGGTGTTTGAATATCACTTACCAGGATAAAAAAAAAGAGCATTATAACGAAATTATAGTATTTAATGGAAAATGTTGAATTTCAGAAAGGTTTCAGTTTACATGGTTACCTATGATTGATGAACCTTCCTACGTTTCCATTATATGTTGCATCTAAACATAGTGCCTCCTCATCCTTTAACCCCTTTTCTGAGCCCCAGTCCGCATCAAGAGTTACTGGATATGTATGTCTGTCATTCCCACTCTCGTGCATTATCCTATCGTATAACTCCATATTGGTTAATATCTCTCCAATATATTCACATACAAAAGTTCCTTTTGGCAAATCTTCTAACGTTCTAAGGCCCCATCCTTTACCTTCTCGAGTTAAGAACACCTGAAGAAGAAAAGCTGAGAATATATTCAACAAAATCAAATACAACGATTGTAGCACTGCTAATGATGCAATGAGCCAATTGCAAAGAACAAGTGTCACTTTAGAGGCTTTCTCATGATTTTTATCAATTGGTATAAGTTATTGTATGAGTATTTATAGAATTTCATACCTGCAATTTGCATGCAATACCTCGTTGCACTATCCGATTCCCACAAAGCATGTCACATCCGCATTTCCTCCAACATTCCTTTATAAATTTCCTTACCATATGTCCCTTGCATCGTTCAGGCATGTACTCATTCTTTGACTTCTCCAAAGGGCACTCTTGACAGTACACAAAATGATGATCTTTAGGATCAGTCTTCATAGTCGCGCAAGCAGTTAGAAATTCTTCTTTCAACAAACCTTGAGGAGTGTAAGCAAACTCTCCACCAGTTTCCCGAGCACACGCACATGGTAATGATGAAGAAAGACAGTCCCCTGAACAATCAGAACAGCAACCCTCATCCGAAATCCGGGCCAAAGAAATAGTTACAGTAGCACTTTGATATATTATATTGCATGGTATGTAATTAAATTTTGGCAAGACTTCACCGCCAAATTCATCTATTAACGATATTTTCACCTTTTCTGAACCTTTTGTTATGTCACTGATAAAATTGAAGGCTTTCCTTTCTTCTAGACTAGCGTATTGTGTATCTGAATTGGCTAGGTTGGAATTTGATCCCTTTCGAAGCCCCAGCTTAAGAAAAATGCTACAAAGATCATCCAATAACTTTGCCGTAGAAAATTGAGGGTCAGCAGTTTTGCTTGAGCTAAGGTACTTCTTGTCCATGAACTTCATAACAATAGCCAAATCAGGAATACGGAAGTTTAGTCCTGCCAAGGCTGACTCACAATTCAAAGATAATTTAACTTCTTCAAGATGTGAAGAACTAGCGATTGTAATATTTCCATTATAAGCACGGGTATTATTGATGCAGTCTGGCACAGGATTTTTACTTTGCAAATCCTGATCCTGATTTGACGGAGGTTTAACACAAAGATCTCCTGCAGAAGAAAATCAATAAAAAATTAACTACACATCAATATTTTATCACAAAAAACATAAAGTGAAAACAAAAACATTATAAAGTGAAAACAACAAATAAAAACTCACATATAAGAGTTTATTAGCATCTATCTTAACAAGGTTTCTTTGAGTCTATCATATCACTCATTTTCAGACACAACTCTATTCTCTCACATGATGTTTTGATCATGAGAGTGGTACATTAGAGATTTAGCACCGACTAAAATAGAGAAAAATTATAACGATAGGCAAGCGTTAAGTTCATCTTATAAGATTGGATTTGGATAAATTAAATTGAAAGGCCGAAATTTGTAATATTGAAATAACACGATGTTTGTTCCTATCTTCAATTTTGGTACCGTTGGAGCCATTGCAGATGAGATAATGTCTATTGTCTATTTTGGTGTTAGTGACCTTTGAGCTGATTTTGTCTTAAGAGACACTTCATTAAGTGATCTCAACTTTTAAACGATGTAGACTTCTGAATTTGAACATATTGGAACAAACTTTGAAGAGACCTTTACAAGCTATAAACAAAATCCTTCAATATTTGAAGACAAGTCCAAGGAGATTATTGTTCAAGAGGAATGAAAAATTAAAAATAGAAGTGTATACTTATGCAAATTATGCAAGTTCTATCATAGATAACAAATCCACTAAGGATATTGCATGTTCTTGGATGGAAATTTGGTGACTTGGCGAAGTAAGAAACAAAATGTTATTGCAAGGTCTAGTGCAAAGGATGAATTCCAAGTTATATCACAAGGGATGTGTGAATTGTTATGGCTAAGAATTATTCTAAAAGATCTTAAAGCGGCCTGTGAAGAACTTATGATACTTTATTGTGATAGTAAGTCAACTATTAACATTGTTCACAATCCAATTCAGCATGATAGGACCAAAGCCACAAAGATAGATTGACCCTTTATTAAAGAGAAACTAGATAGTGACCTTATCACTATTTCTTACATCCCATATGGGCCTCGGTTAGCATATTTGTTTACAAAATGTTCTTCCCACTAAACGATTTCATGATCTCATATGCAAGTTGCGAATGATAGATGTTGTAATTAGAGAAAATATCTATTGAATCTTCTTAATTAGAGAAAATATCTATAGAATCTTCCTAATTAGAGAAAATATTTGTAGGATTTCCAGATTATTTTTCAGTACATTGACTATGAAAATATATATTCATGCTAACTATGTAGGTTCCATTACTAAAAGAAAATATATTTCTCGTATTGTGTGTTTGTTGGAGATAGTCTGATAACGTGGAGGAGCAAAAAGCAAGATAGAGTATCTTGTTCTAGTGAAGAAGCTGAACTTCGAGCTCTTGCTCAAGGAATGTGTGAAGGACTCCGGATGAAAATCATTTTGGATGACCTTAAAGTCAAGGTGGACAACCTTGTGCAACTACACTATGAGAATAAGTATGCCATGAGAATTGCCCATAATTCATTACAACATGACAGGATGAAACACATTGAGATTGACAGAAATTTCATCAAAGATAATCTAGAAAGAGGCCTTGTGATTACAACTCATGTTGCTACAAAACTTTAGATAGCAAATATTTTTACAGAAGGGCTCCCTCCTGGTAACTTTCAAGATCTTGTAGGCAAGTTGAGAATGATTGATATTCATTTACCAACTTAAGGGGGAGTGATGTAATTAGAGAAAATATTTATAGAATCTTCTTAATTAGAGAAAATATCTATAGAGTCTTCCTAATTAGAAAAAATATTTGTAGGATCTTCTAGATTATTTTTCAATATATTGTTTCCTTATTTCCCTTTTTTTAGAAGATTAAATTGCTACAAATAGAGATAAGGAGAATGTAATTGATATGAATGAAAATAATAAATTCATTCTCTTTTTCAATAGATATCCAATCACTAGCTTAAGGGGAATTGTTATTAGTAGTGTTGGAAGTCTCACATCGACTTGAGATAAGGTCAATTTAGAGTATACAAGTAGATGCAAACCTCACCTTACAAGCTGGTTTTGTAGGGTTTAATTAGGCTTAACGTCCATTTTCTCAAATGGTACGAGGATCAACAACCTTTTAGTTCCAATGCCACTGTAGCTTGCACAAGTAAATCTTTTGTGGTCTGACTCAATATTCTTCTCTTGGTCCTTGGGTTCTCGACTTAGGAGCCACATATCACATTTCTGGTAACATATCTTTTTTTTTTCTCTTTATCCACTTTGGATAATTTACCTTCTCTTACAAAATGGTTGATGGATCTAGGGTTTTAGCTTGTGTATTGGGAATTTTAAAAAAATTTCCTATTTTATCTATTTGATAATGTTCTTTTTGACCCTGGATCTCCTTTTAACTAATTATCCATTAGTCGTCTAACTCATACTCTTGATTGTGTTATTTCTTTTACCAAAAACTTTGTTTGTTTACAAGATCAGAGTTTCAAATAGGTGATTGGCACCGAATGTGAGTCTCTAACCTTTATCATCTTCATCATTTTCATGCTCAGTTAGGTCATTCCAATCTTACTAACTTGCAACATATTGTTCCTAACTTATCTAAGTTATCCAACTTGGAGTGTGAGTCATGTTAATTAGGCAAGTATAGTAGTAGTTCCTTTCCTCGTAGTGTCCCACAATATGTTTCATCCCCATTTGTCTTAGTTCACTCTGTCATATGGGACCTAGTCGTGTTAAGTCTAATTTAAGTTTTCAATATTTTGTTACTTTTATTGATGATTATTTCAGGTGTACTTGGTTGTTTTTAATGAAAAATCACTATGAATTATTTTATATATTTCAATCTTTTTTTGATGAAATTAAAACTCAATTTGGTGTTTCTATTCGAACTTTGTAATGGTCGTGAATATCATTTCCATTCTTTTAAACAATTTATAGTTTCTTATGGTAGTCTCCATCAAACTTCTTGTACTTATACACCTCAACAAAATGGAGTGGTGGAGTGCAAAAATAACATCCTATTGAAACAACTTATACCCTTTTAACATGGCAAGGTTCCTCAATAGTTTTGGAGTAATGTTACTCTTACTGCAAGTTATCTCATCAATCACATGCCCTCCATTATAGATAATAAAATACCTCATTCTATTTTAGGTTCTCATGATCCTCTTCATCTCTTACTTCTAAAAGGTTTTGTGGGGTTGAGTTAGACTTAAAGTCCACCTTTTAACATGATATCAAAATCAAGATTTAGAGCTTATCCTAACGAAATGTATTATCTGTTGGGCATATTGTTCCATCTGCTATTGCACCGCTATTAGACCACCCATTAATATTTAGTCTCATACTTGAGATGTATATACCTTGACGTGAAGGGGTGTGTTGGAAGTCTTGCATCAAATAGAGATAAGGTCAGTGTAGAATATATAAGTGGATACAACCCTCACCTTCCAAACCAATTTTATGGGATTGAGTTAAAGCTTAATATCTACTTCTTAACAAGTAGAATAATAAATGCATTACAAGAAGTTGTTAGAAGATTCTAGAAGTCTCTTTTGTACTTATTAATTTAGGGTTAGAGTTTTCTATATATTGAGGTTGATGTACAATTTCAAATTAAACAATTGAAAAAGAATTTTCTATCTTTCATATTAATCATTTCAAGTATAGGAAAGGTATAATCATAATGATGATGATAATAAAAATAATAATAATCACCAAAAATAGTAATGCCAATGATAAAAGTAGTGTCAAATGTTTTGGCATCAACAATAAAAAACAAGCATGGAATGTATTGGCAGAAACAATAGTTGTTATGGTATAACATCTATTACAATTTTGTTATGGTATAGTGGTAGTTGCTACAATGATAATGAAGGTGACTACAACCGTAACCCTAATGAAAACAATGGTTGTCAACAAAAGGATAATAATAAGGATGGTAACAAATGATAATGATTATAATGAAAATGTAATATTGTAAATGCAAAATGAAGATACACTATCTTATCATATTGCCTCCTAACTCAACTCTTCCCTCAGAGAAAGAAATACACTAAAACTGGGACAACAAAAAGATATATGGTTTATATATTACCCAATTGATTGCAATTTTTATCTAACTCGACACGCACATGTTGACTCATTATGGGTAAAGCAAGAAAAGTGTCAATATAACCCAGCTAACTTTTTAGTGAGCCAAATATTTGACTCACCACCAGATGGTGGAACTAACTTAAGGAAATTTTGCTTTACCAATTTATTTTATATATGTACTACAACACAATCAAAGTGAATGACTCCACTCATCTATTTATAAATGTACAATCAAAGAGGTCACTTATTTTACCAAATATTAGTATAAATATAGTAGTAAAAAAAATGTAGATATTGTAGGATAAGCAAATAAATTAAGCATCCAATTATTCAAACATTGGTAAACAATAATGTATTTAAAAATATCAAATTCTTCACCTCAATAATTAGAAATAATTAATTATAAAATATTGATAAAAAATGATTAAAAAGTAAATAACTGATGTTGATAAGTTTCGTGTCAAACTCCCTCGTATTTATTTGTTATCAAGTGAGTCTGGTTAAATTTAACCAATATTTGAAAAAATTAATTTTTTTCTATCCCAACCGATTAGTGATCCGAGTTAACATACACTTTGAACCCATTTTCACACTTCTGTATAATTGAATATATTGACCATCACACTAACTCGTAAAGTCCTTGTATCCAAATTCTCAAAAAACAAAAACACCTAAGTTAATTTTAAGTTAAAGACAAAATTCTATTATCTTAAATTAACAAAAATTCACATCAGAAAATTGATTCCAATAAATCATGAATATTGTGAACTAAAATCTTACAAATGACTAAAACTGTATTGTTAGAGAAAATATTAGTAAATATATATATATATATATATATATATAAATATATAAAACAACGGAGTCAATCAAATTCTTAAAAAGAAACTTTTAAAAAAATAAATCGACTACAAGAAACATTCATTTCCAATTTCAAATTCCACTTTTCACAAAAAAGATAAGAACAAATTCATTTGTAAAAGTATTCTTTTATTATTTTTAATTTTTAGTTAATTTATTTATAAACTAAGCTTCTCGTATAAAACAGATAATATTTTTCATATTTTTTTCTGATAAACCCATCCAAACATCAACCATGGGTACCCACACTTCGCTAAGCTGTAATCCCAAAAATAAATCGATGCTAGTATATTATAATCTAAAAAGAAGAAATTATTGCAAGATAAAGTAGGCAGGATTACCATTATGATTCGTCGAAGTAAGTAATTTGGGTTTTTTAGCCCTTCTCTTCACAGGGTTCATCTCGATCTGGCCACGGTGCCGTGCAGATGATGCTTTCTCAGGTCTGTCCTTAGCTGATCCACGAGGTAAATTAGAGATCTTTTTGGCCTCACTCATGGTTGAATGTAATGCTTGTGAACTGGTTTGGGGCCTATCGTCTTCCGTGAATGTTTGAGATGGCTTAACGTTTTTCTGTTCAAAGATCTTTGATAAAGCACGGTCATCACCATCTACCAAGAACGGTTTCCCTGTTGATTTTTGGCCATGACCACTGGCATTAGGTTTTCTCTCACCTTCAACAACCTTTTCGAAGAAGACGACAAAGGCATTAACTTTTAAATTATACAAGAAAAAAAAAAAGCAATGCCTGTATTTTTTGAATTTTGTTATTTTAGGCTCTTAAGTGGATTTTCAGTAAGATATTTAACAACGAAATATCTTACTTTCCTATTGATTGATGATATAATAATTCACGTATTTCAAATCTACTTTTTGTAATCGCCAAATATAAAGTTATAGTTAAATCACACCAATGTACGTGTTAGATAACAACTAATATTACGCTGACATAAATATTCAATACTAATGCTTAACATAAATTTCCACAATTAAAAATAAAAACTAAAATGTGTATTTAAAAAGAAAAAAAGAAATGAAGTTAGAGGAAACCTTCTCTTTCTCAAAATCAAAGTACGCATCTACAAGTGTCCGATAATTGTCATCTTCAATTAGTTCCCAATTTCCTTCATAAACTCTTAACAGCTTTATCAACACTGGCTTCACCTCCTCCTTAGAAATTCCCAAGGCCATCATAAAGCTAAAGGCCCTCTCAGCTCCAGCATTAGGAGCCATAAGGCTCCAACAAATAAGCCACCCAAATCAAAACACTACCGAAGCTACCTATCAGCTTGAATTTTATATGACCAAATATTAATCTTCTTCCTGTACAGGTTCAGAGAATAAAAAACAATGTCAGAGGTCAATTATATTGCAATAGATATCTACAGTAAACAACGAAAAGATTTCTGGAGAAAACTATCTCCAACCTTACATGTAAATCTAACAATTATATATATATATATATATATATATATATATATATATATATATATATATAT